TCGCTCATGCATTTCTATTCGTCCCATTTTATTCCCTACTGGCGTGGGTGAAGGGCGTTAAGCCAAGCTCCAGAAAAGAAAAGAAAAGCTTGCCGAGAAATTGAGGTTTTCAACTCGAATTCGGGATTTGGCAGGTGCAGCTCAGGAGATCTTAGAAAGCCGCCCTATGCTCGGCAGTAGGGCCCATTTTGTCGTTCACTGCGAATTTCCGCATCGAATTTCGCCATTTACGTTCACGCTGACTGCAGGTTTCACACAAAAACTCACCCGAACTCTGAGCGTGAAATACCCTATTAATCAAGGATTTCCTCTATGTCTTCATATAATTAGTGGGAAACTTGCTCGTATTTCCGGGAATTGAGTTATTGCTCAGGTCTGACACTGGCGGCAACTCATACTAGGTCGGAGAATTTCCGTGAGTAGTTTTAGCCACAGTTGAAAAGTAGATTAGATGATGCGGTCATTGAATTCCATTATACATAGTCAGAAAATGCAACACTTTGAGACTAGGGAATTACAGCGAACGCATGATCTGCACGATATAATGGACGGACTTGTTTATTGGGATTCAATAAGGGGACCATGCACATCGATAATCAAACTAGAACCTCGAACGATTCAGTGAGCTTTCACAGAAAGCGACGAGAGCGGTATATGATAAGACTTGATAAAACGGAGAACTGTTCGAATAACTGTAAATGTCGCTAGAGCCGCCGCATAGTTCGACTCGACTCCATATGCCGAGATGCAGCTGAGCGATTTAAACTCGCCGAGATCGATTGTAGACGAGGTTGGTAAGTAAAGGGTTGGTTGATTGCTAAAGTGTTGCGGAGCATGGAAAGACTCTGCGACGGATGATTAATGGATGATTACCTGTCCACCACCACCGAACGACCATCTTCCAACACCTGCGGTAAGTAGTCATCGCATCTTCTTTCGGCCTTTTGACTACATCAGGAAAGCTGGCAAATGCTACAGAGGCTATATAGCGTCCATAGACATTGTGGCCTCTGTAATTTATGTACACTACGGTAGTCTCCATAGCTTCCATGGAAGTCATATCATTTTGTGCTAGCGTAGCAGCTGCAGGTACTACAGACATCTATGCAGTGAACTATAGAATCTATAGTCTCAGTAGGCATGCCTAGATATTTATTGGTTATTCTTATTCATTAAAGACAATAATTATCATGCAGAATTACGCAGTACTTTGGCCAAAAATCAAAGATATATATTTTGTATTTAAATACATGAATTAGTTCTAGCAACTAGTAACTGCGGCAGTTAGCATACAGAGCGCGGGAGGATTAGAAAGGAAGGAGAATATAGCGCAGTTTTCGAACCGTAGTATCTGCTGGTATAGCACATATCTGTTCATAAAAAGGGAGGATGTTTAGGGCAGTTCCACAAACATTCGGAAAAGAGAGACATACCCCAGAATCTATCGCTGTGTTGCCGTGCTATCTTCCTCCATCATCTTCAATCCCTCGTCGTGGTGCCTTAAGCCAGCTGAATCGCTATATGATTGGCTCGTAAATATGACTGACGGTGGTCAACAGGAACATACCTAAGGCTGAGAAGCTCTCTCAGAAATCTATCTCTAACACTGCCTCTTCTAAACCATGGTCAATCGCCAAAGCCTAGACATAATTATGCAAGAATTGCTGTTGATGAATTAATCTGGAGGTGATCAACCAAAAGATAAACACTAGTGTAGACTCACTGATGACGAGGAGACTTGACTCTTTGACTGACTAGTTCCTGTGGTAACTTTAATGTATTACAGAAGCAGGATAGGAGAATAAGCACACATACCCTGGTTTGCAGTCAGGATGTCTCAAACGGGCGGATACATGCAACTGAGGCAGTAGTAAGAGGATGTCATGGTGGAACGAAGCCAAGTTGTGACGAGGGACCTGGTGCTCATAATTGTTCAAACCAGCGGAGTTCGTTTACCGGCCAGTAGCGAGAGCTGGCGACGGTAGCAAGGCGGTATTTACATAGACATTTGCTAGCTTGTGTAGTGCTACGGAAAAATTAGGCGCCATTGCCCGTTTTCCTGATGAAGATTTTTCCTATAGTACGGTAAATATATTGTGTACACTCGATGACAGAACGCATAAGGATACCACACAGCCAGTTTGAGCACTTTCGAGCGGAATTGTATCGCAATCGATACCCTCAGAGGAAATAGTTGGCGATTTCTTCTGATTTACAAGAGACGATGAGCAAGTTTCCGGAGGACCCCCGCAACAAGACTGGAAATACGTTAAGGTTTCAGGTATATTCGCAATATGAACAAAATGGAGTAACCTTTTTTGGGTACTTTAAGTGACTTCTGGGTTTGCATGAAAACATTTTTCATTTCACAGCAATTCTTGTCATCGGCAGAAATAGATCCACAGCAGCCAATTATCACGTGAATAATGCAGGCACATAACCACGACCAAACAAAGCAGAACACAGCGCTGACTCTATACCTCATATATTCACTTTGATCCCCGAAGACACGAGAATATGTTCGCACTCAAATAATAAATGCGCGAAAATTGAGTATTTATTTCGATGAGCGGAGCTCAAAAGGGGCACCGACAAACTCCTTTCAGCTCCGCGTCCATTGTCCAACTTGTCCAATGTACGTATTTATCCATCACTAGCACAGTTTACCTAGTTCACATGCTATTTCTGCTCCTTAATTTCAGAAACAGACATTAAAACATTCATAGAAAATCTCGCAAACGAACTCATCGATCATATTGCGTTCTTCATCGATGCACCGAGCGATCTTCTCCATTTCGCCTTTACCTCAAAACAAATTTATCCCATCATAATTCCCGATCAAATCATTCCTGAGTCATCGAATTTGACGGACTCCGAGTACCTCAGAAAATCTGGTTCGGGATCATCGCAAATCCAACGCAAGCACGCCGCGTACGTTTCCTCGAAAACAAATTCCATAAGAGCAGATATCTGCCTTCCTTACTCCCCGTACCAATATCTGCAAGTTTTGACTTGCATGATGTTGTACTTGCCGCCTTCTCCCAAATGACGGGGCTGATATCCTTCGAGGACTATACTTATACTGTTCCTCTACCACGCATCTTTTGGAATCTTTCCAATTTGTGTCAGTATATTCAGGATATCAAACTATCCCAGATGGTTCTTTCATTCAAACACCCTGTCATTATACAAGAGTAGGTAGAATTACATGTATATGACACCTCTCTTCGCTGACCCAACATACCAATTCCTTCCAATATTCAGTCTGAGTCAATTGTATTCGCTCACCTACGGACGTTACTTATTGACCTGCTAGAGAAAGATGGTGTCTCCATACTTACAACACATATCCTATCTTCAGCCTCATTTCCTCGCCTTACCCATCTCATGTTCAAACAATGCAGAGGCCTGGATTTTGTTGCTATGCTTAGATCCCTCGATTTCCCTCCCTACAGTCAACCGGCCTTCAAGGCGAAATTTCTGTGTTCTCTCTCCTTCCCAGAGACAAGGTCGCCCTATTACAATTTTTTCTTTTGCATCACCCTATCATATCAAGCATATCCCTCCTCGCAGATATGGCTCAAGACATCTGGGTATGGACCTCGGACATCGTTGGGACCAGCGGGAATGAAAGGGTGAGCAGCGTCATTGACCAACTTGAGGCCGTCTTGACCCTTTGCCAATGGTCCAGGGGGGTTAGGGATGTTGGCGACACCATTGGAAGCGACGAACGAGTTGATTTCTCTCTCGCTGAGGCCAGCTAGGGATTCGTAGACGAAGAACGCGACTGCCAAACGGACAAGTGCGAGGTGGAGCAAAGTTGAGAATTCAGCCATTGAATTAGGGGAGAAGTAGAGTTGAACTAAGGAGGAAGAGTAGAATATGAATCGCTGAAGACGATGAGAATGAGTTGCATTTCACTCTACCTTTTATACCATTGGGATAAAGGCTCAAGGTATAGCTAAAATGAATTATGAACCGCCTAGATAATTCATAGCAAACGGTTGGGTAGATTCAGAATGAGTAAGCCAATAGATGTCGATGGTGGAGATCTCGATTTGCTTTGACCGACTATCTGAATCATTTACTGATGCAGAAGTGATAATTTACCGCGACTCACAGTAAGTCTAGCGGACGGTCCTTGATAGACCTTGATATCTGGAATTTCTTCGACTTGGCACCATTGCCAGGCTAGACCACATAGGGAATTTAATCAGGTAAAAAGCACAAATAGAATGCACTTCAATTGTGAAGCAAGGACCAGCATCCCATAGTCTAATCCTATGCTTCATACAGTTTGTAAGTTACGTACATTGGCTTGAGATTTTATTCCCTATATCGTTTTCTCGAAACTCATGTGAAGGATCAAAACATGTCGCTAGCAAGCCGCTCCAGACCATTAATGCCTAACTGCTCGCCACAGGTTGCTGATGGAACTTGCTGGCAGAGCCGCAAATACCGTGAGCTAGGACGAGTCGCTCAGACATCAGTATGGCGTATTTACTATGTAGAAGAATCTGGACCTCACTTTAGTGTAGTTTGGTTGACCTATCTAACATTATTAATGAGGATTGATTTCCTAAACGCTTATGCAAGTAATTTAGCATCTCACTTGGCATCTTCCGCCGCGCCAGCCCCCTTCCAGTTAGTTGTACGGCCAGACCTACCAAGAGTCCGAGTTTCCGAGAGCTAACAGAGATTATTATTTATAAGTTATAATTGTAATGCTAAACGTCACAGAAAAATTCAGTATGCGGCGGCGGGAGTGTGATAAAGCAACATACTGTATGGGCTTGATGGTAGTAGTAGGGAACAAAAGACCAAGGCAGGCTGTTCGCGGAAGCAAATATCGTTATGGATCGCTGTGGACAGCATGGCACGTAAGCCTTTCATTTTCGAGCTCAGCTTCAAATTAATAGATTTTTGATGGGACTTGGCTTAGTCTGAGAAGAAAACAAAACACCCCATATGTTAATAAGTAAAAAAAAATGCAAAAATACAGGTTTTACCCAGATTCGAACCGGGGTCACGAGCAAGTCACGAGAAACATTTAACCGTTCTCCATTAGGGATCCATAAGCGGCCAAAATCTCGGGGGCTAACCACTACCCCATAAAACCACCGAATTGTCCTGCGGGGATTCTGAGTTCATTCCCTCTTCAGAAGCTAGCGTTCTAATCCATCGATCAGAGAATTGACATCAGTATTGCAAATGAAAATATTCCGGGTCAGCTCATATTGTATATGTATTAGCCCTAATTTCATCTCGTTTAAAATCGCGATATTATCTCGGAAGAACCAGATTTCACCGACAAATTTACAGCTACCAAGGAAGAAATCATCGAAGGCGCGTTTTTCATGATTTATATAGCGAGGTGTAGCCTTTCATTTCCCACCATGTAATATTCGAGGATTAAGTGAATTATTTATACTTTAATTTCAGGATAAAAAAGGAGTGTTTCAATCTCATCAGAATTCGATACTTGTATTGAAAATATTGCGGTGAAGCTATCCGCGATTTACCGCTGAGTAATATAATTGAGAACAGCTTTGCAGTACCGACGTTTGCCAAGCTGTATATGAATTTCCGGCGTCTAAAACATAGCTCCGCCTATGGCTGTCCGTTCTTGCTCGGGGTGTTTTTTTTTAACCAGCTCGATGCCTAAGTTCAATGACGAACATCTCTGCTTAACTTTGCTCCTCAATATACAATCCTCCCAAGATAAATCTCGACACGTTTACAGGTGCGACTGAACATGCTGTGTTAGGCTGTAAGACATCGGAACGCCAAATCATGCATACCTAAGCGCCGGTGAGAGGTCTACTGCGCGCACTCGATATTGTGCCAACAACAAATTAAAAATTAAAAAAGTAAAACCATAGAATATTAGAGATGATATTTGGCCGCATTTCTATTGTCTTAATTTTTGAAAATTTGTCTCAATAAAAATGTTATTTACCAAAAAAGGTTCAAAACTCTTCTTTGAGTCATTTGGAGCATTTATTCTTTTGAGCCTTCGAAGATTTTGGCTGCTTACATAAGCGATTAGCACGCGCTTAAATGGGCACTCAGAAAACTCTGAAGGGCACTGTGGCGGTAACTTGAAAAAATTTGCCACCTTAACCCTAACCCTGGTGCTTAGTAAGCGGGTGCTTAGGTATGCATGATTTGATGTTCCAATGTCTTATGGTAGGAACTGGTTCCAGTGGGCTAGACCAATTGGGACCAGTTTATAAATAAAACCAAACTGACAGGACCAACTAATAAATGGTTCAGTTCGATCAGTCTATTATTGGTTCGGTTCATGGTTTAATCCAACCCACATCGAATCGTTGGCAACACTACATATATCATCAAAATCATTAACCTGATTCATTCCTAGACTTCAGGTATATACAATAAGAGTAATAGTAATACTCGCGCGGGCACATGTGGGCGTGTGTGCACATGCCTGCATACACGACCCGCCTGACCACCGTCAAACAATGTGTTTCAGTTAAACAACAGTCACGTGATGAACCAAATACAAACAAACAACACACTGGCTTTCAACCACCACCATACCCCACCTCTTTCTGGCCAAATAACACATTTCTCTCTTCAAGATGAGTTCAACAAGTGAACAAGGTGATCTGGACATGCTTCTCGCAGCTGCCAGAGAAGAAATGATCATTTCATATCAGCAGAAGGTGAGCCCTATGCATCTGTCATCGCAGAAGCTGACCTATTTTGGGCAGTACATCTCGGAAGGGCTTCTTAAGGCCTTGCTGGAGACTTATACCATTGAAAATGCTTCCAAATGGATCAAGTATAACAAGTTTTTCACATTTTTGAATGCAGCATTGCAGGCTGACAGCCCCATGAAGCCAAAAACACTATTTCATTTTCAATGCTCACACGTTATTTTACAGCTTTCGGCAGATGGTAACTCACATTATGTCAGCTGCTCCGAGTGGAAAGCTGGCCATGACAGACATTCCCATTTATTTGCTAGTATTGACCTGATGGTGAAAGAAGACCTCCTTGTTTAGCTCTTTGAGTCACACATGGCAATTAGTGGTGAAGCACATGCTCATATTGGCCCGTGTGCATTTGTTTTATCTCCTCATATCGGAAACAAATTGAAAAATTGCTGTGAGTCATATATTATTAACTCCTTAATTAAATCTTTTGCTCAATATATTTCTAGCCTATGCACATGTCAAAGATGATAAATTGATTAAGGGTGATATTGTTGCTCGTACTTGTCCCACTAAAATAACAATCTATGCCCCAACTGATAAGATGGTCCGGAAAGCTCTAATAATCGTTGGTGGAGAGCAACATAACCATCCAAATTTTCTGTCTGATAATGGACACTGGATTCCAAGCAAAAATATAGAGAGGCATTGGGCCAGGCTGGATTAATGGGTGCAACTGTCACAAAAGTGGATTCAGGTGTGTTGATCATTTAATATGATATATTGATTGGAATTTCTGAAAGGATTTCAGCTCCAACAACAGCAGGAATTTTAGGGACACCCCTTCCGGAGGCTGTTTATGCTGTATTAGGAAATTCTCAAAAGAAAGCCGATCTCATTACCAAAGAGAAAAGGAAGCATCATGCAGCAGGTCTTGGCTTCTAAGGTGAAGTCTATATTTTTCAATATTTCTGCTGCATCACTAATGCCTTCTATTCAGGGGTTTATGACACATTCCACAAAGAGCAGCTCAAACTGGCAGTGGAACACTATATTCAACATGTAGCCAGCATTTGCAGTGATGACGGTGGTGACAACATCGAAATTGTTGTTACTATGTTGCCTGCCTTGGCTGAATTAATTCGTGAGACAAAGTGCATGCAACATGACAATACATATTTACAGATTGCTGGGAAACATAATGAATGGGAAGTTGTACTGTGGGAAGATAAACTAAACTGCTGTAAGTACTCATTTTCGCAAACAGTCCTCATGTGAATCTAATTTTTCACAGGTGTAACAGTGGCTTGTATATACTGTAACAGGGAAATCTGACAGGCCTTCTGCATCATGTGGAAAGCTTTTTTTGATACAGTACATGAATTCACAGGTCGCCCATTGCAATTAAAGAATCTCCATTGCTTAGGTAAATTGGCAATATTTTTGACAGATGGCTGTGCAGCCCAGGCACTGGGTCTTGGTGATGTCTTGGCTGAGATGAATGACCCTGCTGTCAGTGGAATTATGACCAAAGATCCAGAGGAAATTGTAAAATATTTCCTATGAACCTGTGGTGTGCATTGTGACAGGTCAGCTCCATACTCATTATTATGATTAATTTGATAATGACTTTATTTTCAGGAATCTTAATGAGCTAGCAAATTTCTGCAGTCCAGAAGATATGGCCTATCTACGAAAGTTCCGGTCTATCTCTTCAGTTGAAGAATTAAATCAATTTCATGATTTCTGCAAAACACACCCAGAGCAAAAGATTCAGGGTACGTTGATATACATTGATTGCCCTCTTTGATTATTTACTGATAACGGTCATTCTCCATTGGATTAGATTGGTATGCAAATAAAGTGATGCACACGTGGTATTTACCTTCACTGGTGAAGTTCTTGACAAAGATCCCCCATGGAGACTGGGAAATCAACTGTCGTGATACAAATATTAATGAAGGGTCGCATCCGGCCACCAATCGCGCAACGGGAAAAGGACTTACTTTATTAGATGGCATAGAAGGGTGAGTTAAATTTAACTTCAACTTTATTTGGATGATTTCGGATGATTCGGAATTTTTTGTAGAGCACGCCAATTAGACACACTTGAAGCTGAACGGCTGCAACTTTGAAGATGCAACTGTGTATTGAGAAATTCAAACAACACAATAGGTCATCGCTTCAGCAAGAATACAGCTAGAAGCAGTGTAAGAAGTGGGAAGAATGATCAAAGTGTGGCTACGCATGTACAACTCAATGTTCTCACCACCCAGATACAAACAGCGAAAGCGCAGGTAAAAGAGCTTTAGAAGAAACAGAAGGACATAAAGACTACGGCCGGAATACGCGCCCGCAATCCTTCAAGAGCCGAGAGAGGAACGTTGATCCCCGAGGCTGATCCAGAAGACGTCCCGCCGAGATTGGAATACGCTTACCTTGCTCGTTCCACGCAGCTTCATCTGAGACATGCATCTCTCACACAGGCTGGTCCATCCAGCTCTGCTTTTGGACTTGTTCCTTTAGATCCTGCCTTAGAGCCCCCAGTTGCGACATTGCCTCCTGTTTTTCCTAACGAGTCATTTGTTTTCCCTTCCTCCACTGCGCCGCCATCATTTATTATCCCAATAATGATTTCATTTAGTAGTTGATTTATAAATGCTATTATATAATTCTTAATAATTATTTATTTGGTGGTTAAAATAACAGAACGCCGCGCAACCGACGACAGCTGAGTATTACCACCGTCGGTCCTCCCAGCAAAGGTTACGGGCTTTGCCGGGCGAGTATGACCATGACTCTTCTCGTATCTCCCCCTAGACTTCCCATAATCTGTAGCCACCGCGAAATCATTCCTTTTCGGCTCACCAATTAAATTCAAACAGCCTTCAAAGAATGAATCGCTCGGAGAATGCTTCTTTCGGTATCATTATCACGGTATGTACAAGCTGATAATATTTTTCGTGTTCCTATTAGTGTTGTCCATATTATTGAGTGTATAATAGTAAAGTCTTTATAATTACGATTATATTAAATAATTACCTCAGCAGTGCATATTGGGCACTTTGTCAACGTCATTTTCCAGTCCTTGCTCGTGTGGCTCGCGACATTCGCTTGTATGTGCGGTTAGAGGATGGCACAGGAAAGCGTGCCTCGCACGGCCGGAGAGGTACATCAGTAAACTGGGCGCAGTGTTCCCGCGTGTCCGAGCCGATCCAGCGCTGTCCAGGGCGTCTGAAACGCCCCAAATGAACAGACAGTGTTCCCGGATCACTCAGGATCGGTCGGGACACGAAACCGAGTTTACTGACGTATAAGCTTCATGAACTTCGGCGATTAGCATCCCATTGCCATTGTAGGTAGTATATGGACCAATACTCAATATTTCATAGAGCTACGAATAAATACACTTACAATACCGATCTAAATAGAAAAACAA